AATCCCTTTGTTTGATCTTTGTTAGAGGAAATGTATTGGAATTCAAATTCTATTTTTTATTCTAAAACCAAAGGTTGCTTACACATTAGTCTTTTTTTATAGTCAACATAAAAGCATTCTATTTCATACAATGCATTCTCCAAGAAAAATAACATTGATCTCTTGGCTGCATATACAAACTGACACCATTTGGATGATCTTCTATTTTTTATCACCAAAGAAATTTTTTCTATGAAATCTGATGTGATAAGTGTTATATTTGCTTCTAGATTTATATTAACTTTTCACTTAAAGCAAGTATTATAAAACGGAATCCCACTCTCATGTTCTGTATCCTATAATATTTCTGCTGAACTGTCATGTGAAAACCTGAATCAGTAATCAACCTTTGCTGCAAAATTCCAAATTTTTGTTTCAAGTATAAGGACTGTCATCCTGAAAACTTTGCTTACTTTAGTTGGCTTCCCATAATATCCTGTAAATAAATTCTAGTAGTAGATAGTACTTAGCAGCACCATCTATTTTCTGTTCTCTGTTCACTTCTTGGAGGTGGGGAAAGAACAGGAATAAGAGGAAAAGTCACCATTTAACTCCTAAAGAAATTCCAAGGAGAAGAAGACAAGTGATAACAATGGTGGAGCTACTGAGCGATTCTAAATATAAGTTTCCAGCTGTTTAAATATTGCCACAATCTACTAGAAAGTTCAGTAAAAAGGGCCTTGATCAGGTGGAGAACTGGTAGCGGAAATTTTGAGTAGTTCGGAAAACCAGTAAATACCGCATCTGACTGACCCCACCCCTATCTAGTCTCTGCCTCCTGAGTCCCAGCTGATCAGGACGAAATGGGGATTTTGCAGTAACCTTCCCCTGGAGTTAGGAGAGAATGGAGATTTTACAGTATCCTTCCCCTGTCACACCAACCAAGCCATGCCCACCAAGCCATGCCACGTCCACTAAGCCATGCCCAAAGAACCGGTAGTAAAAATAATTGAATCCCACCACTGGCCTTGATCACTCTGCTTTAGTCATGAAAGCCAGTTGACTTTAGGCCAGTCATTCTCTCTCGGTCTAACCACCTCACATTGTTGATGGTGTGGGGAAAATAGAGGTGGGCAAAAGGTATGTTAGATTTGTTCATCGCCTTGAGTTATTTGTAAAAATAATAAAGCCAAGATACAAACAAACAAATAAAATAACTCTTCTCCCTTCCTTCTTCTGTGAGTCTGCTGTTACTATTGTGGAACAGAAATGAGACTAAATTGTTTTAGACGTGTAGTTCAGTGGTGGGTTGCAGGCGGTAAACCCCGGTATGGGCGTACCGGAGCCTGCCCGGAGCACCGGGTCCCATTCTGGTATGGTGCTCCAGAGAGCCCATCCGCCCACCCGAGCTCCTTACCTGTCCTTTAAGCCTTTGGGGCTTCCGCACACGTGCATGGCGCATACAGCGCATGCACGATGCTCCTCCAAGCAGCTGGAGCGTTGCAGAGGCTTGCAGAGGCATTGCAGGCAGGTACAATGCATGCGCATGCCGCACATGTGTGCGTGTGCGCTGCACGTGTCCATGTGAACAACGCCTGGCCCGTTGCAAACGTACCGGTTGGAACGGGATCCGGAACCCACCACTGGTGTACTTCTAAGTAATGCCAATATGGCAAATTAGTATATTCCTTACCTGTTGGAGTAGGCTAAAATAGTACTTTAAACCAAGGCCTTTATTAGTCTACAAAAAGTAAACTATTGCTCGATTGTGCTAAATGTTGTAAATGGCACTTGATTGAGCACAAAGAATACTGTTTACTACTTTATTAACAGACTGAAGAAATGTGCATCCAAAGAATTTCTTTCATTTAGAAAAAAAACATAACTGAGAAATTTAACTGAGAAAAAGAGCAAAAGAAAATATTCTTCTGGAATATGTGTTTTTCTACGGTAACTGTTTAAAACATTAAATTGTTCCTTGTAACTATTCCATAAGGTTTTACTAATTTTTAAAATGTGTTGCTTTTTGAAGTCTCATCACAATAAGATATGTTCCACAAGAGAATGGTTTAAGTAAAAAATAAAAGCTAAATAAATCTCCACATCAGATGGAGATGGCAACATCAGACAATAGCAGACAGCAGAACCACAAATCATGCAAGTAAAGCTTCTAGTATCAAATATTTCTTCCAAAATACTAAATCTGAAAATTGAACCAGTAAATAGAAATCAGGAATTGTGCATATGTCATAATGATGAAGCAATTATATACTCCCAGTGCTAGTAATGTTTATATTCTATAGAAACTAAAAATCCATTCTTACAGTGTAAAATTGCTTTTTAACAATTTTGCAAGATCCTTGTTTCTCACAGTTAAACTGACACAGCATGAAAATATTCTCCTACTGGCCCACTGTTACCTACTGATTTTCTTTGTGCAAGTGTGCAAAAAAAAAAATTAAGTCATTATTGACTTTTCATTCTGTACCCTATATTTTATTAGACTAAAAATAGGAAACAAAGAACGTGCTGTCATTCCAAAGGGAGGAGCAGTGGTGCTTTTAAAAAATCTCTTGACTGATGCATTTCTGCATTTAATGCAGAAGAATGAAGCTTATTAGGTTCATAGGAGGCTCGATTACACAGAATCTAATTATTGGAAGTTTATTTAGTTGCCTGTTTGCTAAGGCAAAGGTTAACGAGAACTGTACTGAAAAAACCTCCTGTGGTATAACAAAGTATTTTTATGCTGTATGAAATGTAAATTAAAAGTATTCTAATCAAGTCTATCTTTAACTCTTTCATTATTAGTAGTTACGATTAATATTCTTGAAGAGCCATTACTGAGACATTTATTAAAATGAAGTTATTTCCAAAAGCCTTGAATTTTAAAAAGGGAGAAACTAACACTTAACACTTAGAACAAACTTTATAAATAGCAAAGAGGGGCAGAATTGCTATTACTAACATTAAATCATCATAAATATTAAGTTGGAAGTTCTAATTTCAGATAAAAATTAATTATATTTTTGGGAGTAACACATTCAGAAATGTTTACACAGCTGACGGGGCTCAGCTGCAGTAGTTTCAAGCCGGGAGCTTTCTAGACTCATTTGCTTGAAAAGCAGATGACTTAACAATCACCAATTTCATTAAACTTGAAAAGGAAAAAGAAAATCACCTGCAACATTTTCACTTGTTAAAACAGAGTTTAAAATAGATTTGTGTGTTTTATTCAAGCTGGACATCCTATCATATAGAAAAGCTTTTCCTTTTTGTTTAGTTGGCTACTTTCCAAACAGCTGCTGGTATTTGGATTAGAAATCATGGGTTTTCAAATCCTTTCTGGCCTAAACTCAACTAGCAACAGATGACAATACACCAATATATTTCAGAGGTTGCAATTAACCTTGTCGATGTTTGTTTTTGGCAAAAGCTTCAGTTCTACATCCAATACAAGAACTAGCTACTTTCCTTGAAAAAACCAATGTGGCACTCTTGTGCCAAATGTACAGCAGTGAACAGCAATTCCTTGCCCTCAGAATTGCTCCCAGGATTCGAGAAATTGGAGGGGTGTGCCCACTGGTTGGTCAGGACCTCCATAAACAAGGGAGGAGCCGGGATCTCCTCCTTGTTCGTGGCCGTGGCAGAAAACATGGCCATGTCAGGATCCCTAGGTGGAGGCACCGAAGGATCCCCAGTTCCCACCTTGGAGGTTTTCCGTGCCTTGCCCAAGAAAA